GGTGAGTTCCTCCTGCTTGTTACCCATACTACGAGTGTTGGGTAATTATACAACATGTCATAATGAAACAACATTATACAACATGTCATAATGAAAAATAAAGCAGAGAATCTAGCAGAAAAAAAATGTCCTTGCATACTACTGGCTGGAAAGATTGACAGCAGAGGTCAGTTTTAAAATGGCACAATATCTTTGAATTTCTTCAAATTAAAGAGTTCAAAAAGGGATTATGAAGGTATACTAAATATCATTGGTATCAAACTGCTTTCACTCATGATAATTCAAGCAATTGAGCTCCTCCCCACCCAACATAAGCTTTAGATCAGAATCCAAAAGAAGAGCACTCACTTTGATTTTAAAGATCCAATAGCAACAGTTTAGACTTTTAAGGAGCTCAAACCCAGATAAAAAGTTAGAAATATAAAATTTAAAAGAATTTAAGTTTATATCCTTGTATTATGCTCTTAAGAGGTCCAGATTAACATACAACCCCCCCCACAATTTACATGTGAAGATAGTGCTGTGGAAACCACTCTTCTGTAAAATCCTCCTTCAGCAGCCTAAAGTCAGCCAACTGATCTGTGACAAAGGCCCTAATGGATGAATGGCATTAGGCCAAAATAATCTTACAATAATTACATAGGTTATTAGGATGCTTGAATCCCTAAGCATCCTGGGCAATGAGGATGACTCGGTTAATTGCATATTCCTTTGAGAGATTTGGCTATTACAGGTGAGTAGAACAGAGGACTGATGTGTGAAACTTCCAAAGGAAAATGGTCAGATTTTTGAGGACTTCAAAAATCTATTGAAGGCAAACGGAGTATTGATGGCTGCATTTTCTTGAGCAGTTTTAAATGTGTCCATCTGCCCTGTAGTTCTGAACCTTGGTAGCATGGATGACCGAGCGGAATTGAAAAATTCCTTTCTTCCTAACAAGGATTTTGTTGACATGATATTTGTGTCCTGACTGACAGCAGCTGATGCCATTGCTTGGATCTTCCCTAATTTGCCCTGTAGATCCTGGCTGAAGTAACAATAATTTGTTATTTGCAATAGTTCATAGCCAATTGCACAAGAGGCAGTCCCAGGTAACAGGATGATCAAAATGACTATTTCTATCAGGTTCCTGTCCATTATGCCTATCAATTTAAAGGGTATAAGAATGACCATTGGTGGAGATTTGCACGATGAATGTAGTATATTAAAGAAACAAAGGACCAGGGAGCTGTAAACCAAAAAGTGGAGTGGATGAAAATGAAAGCTTGCACATGAAACTAAGGCCAGGCTAGTTAGTCATCTGCCAGACAAAGATGCCAGAATTAGATCTGCACAGGATTTTTTTTTGCCAGTTTTTATCACTGAATGCCTATTTGCCAAAAGCAAAACTTTTCATGAGAACATATATACCAGTTCCGACAGGAAAGTCTTTTTTGGGGCAGGACTGAATTTCTGGTCAGAAAGAGAGCAAAAATGAGAGCCTCATCCATTCCAGAAGCATAGGCAGCATTTATGATACTCAGCTGAGATGTGGGACACAACTTCAAAATCCCTGCTCTGCTTCAGCTGAACCAAAGACTTGAATCAATTCTCAGCCTTGTATGTCCTAGATGGCTGCTACAATCATGAAGCTATTGGCTATCTGAGAATGGGTCTCTCTGTCTCTCCTACTGTAACTGTTCTGCTCTGTATAAATAATTAAATATTAATTGGATTGGAGAGCAAGAACCTGACTTTATATCCCAGTAAGACAGCTCGTTCACTTGTTGGCTCGGGTGAAGGAAGAACAGATTTGGAGCTCAGTTTCCCAAAAATCGCAGGAGAGTGCCTTGATCACTGAGCTATTGGCTACGTTGGAGTTGAGAAAGATGTCTTGCTACCTCAGAAAGAAGAAACTAATGGTTAAGATCGGAAACTGGACTACTTCTCCCAGATGCAATCCTTTTTGTGGCACTCCATTGCTGCAAAGAGATAGAAAGCAGGCTTAAAAACTGGCTGGAGGTTACTCCTCTGCATGGGAACCCTTAGGCAGCATAAAGCCAAAGTACCTAGCACTGCAGCTGCCCTTTCCATTTTAGATGTCACTGTGGGACTGGAGAGTTATGGCTAGAGCATTCTACAAGTTAAACATTACAAGGTAGAACAGCTTTGAAGCTGAAAGTTCAGGGAAAAGAAGGAGGAATAGGTTCAGGATCAATACCGTTTTACATTCTTGTGTTACAGCATGATACACAATGTAAGACTTGTAGTTCAAGATACAGATATGGTTCAGGCTTTATGGTACCTCTGTATTAGTAACTCAGGTTGTCTTATTCAGTGAATAGATTTAACATAAAATTATTAATTTGTATGAATTTGGAAGTAAGTAAGTGAGGCTAAGAAACGGAAACATTTGATTTAATGACTGCACAATTTCAATACATAAAAATAGATACTTGGTAATGAACAAATTTATACAAAGCAGATTTCCTTAGGCAATGTACAAAACAACTGCAGAGATAAAAAAGGTTGCTAAATTACATAGCAAGACAAAACGACAACAAAAGGTAGATGAGCAAATAACATTAAGTGATAAGATCGGAGGCTTATTTAATAAATACGGTGTAATGCTTTCATTTAACAAATACAAAATTCATATTATATCTAACGTATTAATGTCAGGAAATATAAAATGCAACTGCATGACAATTATCTAGCTTATTTCAAAACTGATGCTAATATACTAGCATTTTAGAATTCTGAGGTAATATTACACAGTAACCTCCCCGCCCCCAAGAAATTTAATAAATAAAACAGAACAAAGTGCAATTTTGCAATAAAAAAAAGACTGGAATGTAAAGCTTTTGTCTTAGTGATGATGGGCAGAAACTTATTAAATGCAGGTTTGAGTCATAAAATATTATGGCTCGTTTATGTGCACTATTGCCTGAAAAATTGTGTAGCTATTAATTCATAAGCCAACTATCCATGAATTAGGCTCTAAAGAACAACAATTGTTTCCAGTTTAATTAATAAAAATATATATAATTCTGATGTCTTATATAACCACTATTTTTGTGCTTATTAGTATTAAATCATTTGAAATTTCTTACTAGTTCAGGCAGTGCAATGATGAAGCACTTCCCTTAACTCTGCAATCTGAATTTTTTTGGCGATGTCCAGAATAAAAGTGCAATTCCAAAGCTGTAGTTTTATAAAGCACTAGCCAACAAATTTTAGTCACTGGGAGTTTCATCAGTCTTATGTAGGAGCAGAGTTAGACCAATATTAAAGGCTTTAAAAAACCCAAACAAACCAATGCTTATTTCTGTTCCTAATGAAATAAAAATGGTAAAATTGTCCACCACCTTCAAGGACGAGAATAGAATGAAACGTGTATTTACTACAGAATTACTGGCTTTGGAATTACAGAGTAATTAGATGTTTATTCACCATATAGAAATATGCTGGTTGTGTGCAAGCAGTATAGAAAGTAAAAAAAAATAAAAATAAAAAAGTTAATCTGAATCATTTTACTGTTATTGCAAATAAGCAACGCATGCCCAGATTATCAAAAGCAATCAGGCACTTACTTCCCATTGTTTGTACCATTATATTGATGCAACAGACAAAGAAAGTTGATGCTAAAAGATAAATTCTAAATCTGTTCAAACACCGTTGTTTGTAATGGGAGTTGGATGCCTGATTACCCGTGAGGATATGGGTTTTAGTTCTGTTAAAAAAAAATAGAACACGCAATAGATATTTCTTTATATAAAAATATACCAACACTATGCTGCATGCTGATAAACTGTCTTAACTTATGAATAAATATAGACTTATAATTATGCCAAAAAAGTCTCTCTCCAGCACTGTATTAGCTAAAACATTCAAAATGTGAGTAACCTGGCATTTACTTCGATACGTGCAGTGAAAAAACCCCAAAACATTGTCTAAATTCTGACCTTCAAGTTAAATGAAAGCTACAGCATTTCAATAAAATGTTATTGTATTCACTTTTGTCAGAGCTTCTTTAAATTTTACTAAAACATTTCCAATATAAAATTGTTGATTCAATGACAGTGGAGCACAGTGTACAATTTTTCCATGCATTGTGGAAATAACTTATTTCTGAAGTGATTAAATGAGTTAAACTTCCTTTCTTCATCCAATTGCTTTATGTATTCTGTGGTTACAAAACTAAAATTAAACTGACTGGTTTTCTGCCAATTTCACAGAAAGTACATGCAGCTTATTTAATACTAATAGTCTGCCTTTGAATCAACTTAAAAATGTAAAATTTTACCATAGACATTCCTATACAATCAAACCTGTTGATCTGTAAAAGCTGAATATATAACATCTAAACCCCCATATTTTGTAAAAATAAATCTTTAGCAGTAAATGGCACTATCAAAACCCTATTCTTTCAGAGGCATTTATTTACATGCTTCTTAAAACATCCAGCTTAATTTTTTTTTAAATTAAAACTAGAATATTAAAACTGTATACATTTTATCTACACTAAAATTGCTATTTGCCCCTATGAAAATATGGCCACATACTTCATGTTAATGGCAGTTATGTGTTTTGCTACCATGTGTAGTAATTGAAAACATCCCACCACTGGGCTTAACTAACATAAACTCTTGTTTCTTTTCCCAGTGGAACATGCATGATGTAAATTAAGAGTAAAGTGCTATTACGAATAACCAAAGATAAAACTATAACTTCCAATTTGTCACCTCTGTCAGATTTTCTGAAAATTTGTCACCTCTCTCTCAAGAAAATCAGCTTTCTATATCTTATTAAAATTATTCTCTGTGCCAAAGCAAGCAATAAGTGTATTGTCATACAGCAAAAGTGAATGCTTTTTAAATTTAATTTAAAAATTTCAGTGTTCCAAGTTGGGTAAGACTGGCATAGTATCAAGAGACAGAAACATGAAAAGCTTAAAGGCACAAGTAGAGGAAAGTGAATGCTACATAAAAATGCTGTTTTTTTTTTGTAAAGTCTTTCATCTTATTCTAGACCAAAACCTTCTGCATTTGAAATTCCAATTGTCAGCTTCTGCTTCAGTTCCTTTTTGTTCTTGTAAGGAGGGAGGCAAAGCTGGTTGAAGCAGGTATGGGCCACAGGTAACCTAAAAATATTAAAAACAAATAGTGCATTTTCTATACAGAAATGAAACAGAACTAGGATATCATAAGGTACTGATATATTTTAAATCATGAAGATTGCTGTCACAAAACCCATTAGAAGAATTTGTTACTTATTACAGTAATTTATTTTAGTAAGTTATTACAGTAGTTCTCTGAGGTGTGTTCTCCACATCTATTCCATTGCTATTGAACATACATCCTAAGGATTGCATTCTTTTTGTCAGCAGAGTTTGCTTGGGGCCATGTCTGCTCCCCAACCATCTTTATGCTTCCTGACGGCAGGGGTCAGCAACTTTTTGGCTGGAGTGCCAAAAATACCCCAACCTCAACCCATGCCTTGGCTTGGCATGTCAAGGGTAGGGGTCTGCTGTGGGAGAGAGAAGGGGAGGAAAGCTGCGAGAGGTCCAATCCTCACTGCTGGTGGCAGATGCATGGACACCTCCAGGCGGACAGTGAGGTAGGGGCTGGGGTTACTATGCCCTGCTGCGTGCCCTCAACTGAGCCCTGGCCTGACTCATTGTTGGAGGTATCTGCACATGTGCCTCCGGGTGGACAGCAGAGGAGGGGCCAAGGTTGCACTGCCCCTGCCTCTTCCCTGCTGTGCACTCTTAGGTGTGTGTGAAGCCGCTGCCGGTGCTGGGTCTCCAGTGCCCAGTGCAGCTGTTTGCAACCTCTCAGCTGCCTGCCACATCTGATCAGAGCTCTGGGCGGTTGCTACCTGCCACGGAGCCCAGGCTGCTTGCAGCAGGACATGTAGCCTCCCAGCTGCCTGCTGCAACTGGCCTGGGCTCCACGGCCAGCTGTGGTATGCCAACCAAAATGGTTTCATGTGCCATGCTTTGGTACACATGCCAGGGGTTGCCGATTCCTGTCTTGAGGGTATAAAGACCAAAGCAACCACAACTAAACCCCAGTTTTTTGCTTATATCAAATCTAGATATTATCACACTTGTGGTAATGGAGAAAGAAGGTAGATTATGGAATGTTTGATCAAAATCTCTAGAAGAACCATAGAGCTTTTTTATGTTTTTTTGGGGACATGGCTCTGGATGCTTTAATTAGTGAGCTGCACTAATTAAAGACGCTTGCGCATCAAATGCATCAGCATCCCCATGCTGAAAAAATGGCAGCAGGGCATTTTGAACTAAAGCTCATTGAATGTGTTTCATTTCAAAGTGTCCCATCACCATTTTTGTAGTGCGGGGACGCAGATACACATGACGCGGAAGGCTGCCAGAGCACGTCAATTTCCACGCTCCAGCAGACTCATAGTTTCATAGAAGTAGGGTTGGAGGGGACCTGAGCAGATCATCTAGTCCGACTCCCTGCCCTGGGCAGGAATGAATACAGGGCTCTTATGACCCCTACTAAGTTTAAGCTCAAATGACCCCAGCTAGGTAGTAGGCCTGTGCGAGTCGGCAGCAATCCAATCCGGCTTTGGCTGGCCACGATCCGATGTGGAGCTCCAGACCGGGTTTCCGCCTTGATCCTGCCGAAGTGGCTCTGAAGCTTTCAAGAATTTGGGGAACAGTTCCCCCCAAACCTCTGCATTGATCATCTTGAAACTTGGCAGGCTTCATCCTCTCTGCAGAGTCTACCATCCCTGAAAATTTCATCCAAATCGCACAAAAAACAACACAGTTATAGATATTTTGTTGTTTCTTCATTAAACCCTACGGCCGGATCTCCAAGGCAGCTCCGAAGCTCTTCGGAAGCTCTGAACCGCTTTGGGAAGCCTAACGAGGCCAGCGCTTCAACCCAGATGTGCTGCTTTGGATCCCGGAAGCATCCAAAGCTTCTCCGGATCCGAAGCTCTGCCCGCAGCCTTGCACAGCCCTACTATGTAGTTATCAAGCCTCCTTTTAAAGACCCCTAAGGTAGGAGCCAGCACCACACTTCCCTTGGAAGCTGGTTCAGATCCTGGCTGCCCTGACTGTGAAGTAGTACCTCCTGATGTATAACCTAAACCTACTCTCAAACAACTTGTGGCTGTTGTTCCTTGTTACTCTGGGAGGTGCTCAAGGGAATAGGGTCTCACCCAATCCCCTCTGGTCCCCTCTTCTAAGTTTATAGACGGCCACTAGATCCCCTCTCAGCCTTCTCTTGTGTTCAGGTCCCGTAGCCTCTTCTCTTAGGGCCTGCCCTGCTGCCCCCTGATCATGTGAGTGGCCCTCCTCTGGACCCTCTTGATGTTGTCCACATCCCTCCTGAACTGTGGCACCCAGAACTGGATGCAGTACTCCAACCGTGGCCTGACCAGTGTTGCACAGAGGGGGAGGACCACCTCCTTGGACCTGATCGTGATGCACCTGTTGATGCATGACAAGGTGCGGTTAGCCTTACTGACCGTGTCCTCACATTGGCAGCCCATGTTCATTCTGGAATCGATAATGACTCCAAGATCTCTTTCTGCCACTGTGCTTTCAAGAAGGGAGTTCCACAGCCTATAGGTATGCTGCTGGTTCTTCCTGTCCAAGAGGAGTACCCTGCACTTGTCAGTATTGAATCCCATCCTATTCACATTTGCCCACCCTTGTAACCTGTCCAGGTCCAGTTGTAACCTGTCCCTCCCTTCTAGCGTGCCCACCTTGCCTCAAATATTGGTGTTGCTAGCGAATTTGAACAGGGCGTTTTTCACCCCCTCATTCAAGTCGCTGATAAAGATATTGAACGATACGGGCCCAAGGACCGAGCCCTGGGGGACTCCACTGCCCACCACCCTCCAGGTCAAATATGACCCATCCACCACCACTCTCTGGGTGTGGCCCCCTAGCCAATTTGCAACCCATCTGACTATGCAGGCATCAATGCTACAGTCACCTAGCTTTTTAATGAGAATGTGGTGGGAGACAGTGTCGAAGGCCTTCCTGACATCCAGAAAGACTACATCCACCGTGACACCTGCATCCAATGATTTTGTGACCTGATCATAGAAGGCTATCTGGTTGGTTTGACAGGACCTGCCCTTAATGAACCCATGCTAGTTAACCTTGAGCATCCTTCCCCGCTGCTGGTCCCTCCCAGATGTGCTCCTGGATAATTTTTTCAAAGAGCTTCTCCAGGACTGAAGTAAGACTAATGGGCCTGTACTTGCCTGGGTCCTCCCTTTTTTGAAAATGGGGACCACAATGGCCTTCTTCCAGTCTTCTGGCACCTGGCCAGAGCACCACGAGTGCTTGTACAGCCGTGCTACAGGCCCCATGATGACCCCTGCTAATTCCCTCAGCACCCTGGGATGGAGAGGGTCTGGACCTGCTGATTTGAACATGTCCAGCCCCTCCAGAAGTTCCCTAACTTGGTACTCCCTGACCCTAGGCCTGGCGGAGTCACTCCTGAGTCCGTTCTGTATCCCAGTGGGGGAGAAGTCCCGGTCCCTGGTCAGAAAAATGGAGGCAAATAATTTGTTAAAAAGGTCTGCTTTTTCATCTGGTGCAACCACCAGGTTGCCAAGTGTATCTTGCAGAGGCCCCACATTGCCTGGTACCTTCTTTTTGCTCCCTATACATTTAAAAAAGGACTTTTTGTTGTCCTTGATCCTTGTTGCTAGCCCTAGTCTAGTCTCCACCTTAGCCTTCCTAACAGCCTCCCTACATACTCTTGCATACCTCTTTGGTGATAAAATTCTTGGACCTGGGGGTCCACCCAGGAGCCTAGGCACACACCCAGGCTTGAACTTGCAACTCGATGGCCCCAGAGTCAGCACACTCCCCACTAGGCCAAGACCCAAACAACTAGGCCAAGACAAGATTAATCAAGTCTGCTCCGATGCACTGGATTTCAGGCTCCCCACATGTCTATAGGAGCCCACAGTTTTTGTAAGAAAGGCTGAAGAATTAAAAGCTAATATCTCAGTAAAAATCACTGTTTACTGTACACCAAAGGCATACTCCCATAGACACGCCTAGGAAGGAGACAGCTCAGGAATTTTAGGTCTAGCCTAAAGAATGCACTCTTGCAAGCATGAACAATTTGCAAAATGTCTTCTTAAGGCATGTTACTGTTCCACTAACTCAGTTTCTTCATCATGGAGGCCTTTGCACTGCCCTACGTGCTCAACCAAGCACTAGGTGAAGTTCCTCCGGGTGCATTCATACATTCAGTGTACCGTGGAGTTGACTAATTAGCCCTGTAGTAAAGCATCACTGTCTAAATGTGCACCAGTATTAGGGCACAGTAAATGAAATTTCACTGTCTGAGAAAGAGGTGGAGGAGGCACCACACCTCTAGACCAGTGGAGCCCAGCCTTTTTGCCTGGCGGGCTAGATTGGCAGTGCTCAGTCTGTCTGCAGGCCAGATCCAGCCAGTGTGCCTCATCTGGTGCCTGGGTGGGCACAGCAGGCACCATCTGGCCACGTGGAAGGGGCAAGGGGTAGGCCGGTTCCAGTGCAGCCCTGCAGGGGAAAGGACATTGTTCTGGCCTCGTGGAGAGGAAAGGGCCCAGCCCTGTGAGAAGGTGTGGGTGGGGGTATGGCCAGATCCTAACCTGGCCCTGCAGGAAGGGAAGGGAACATGGCCTGAGCCTGGTGGGGGAGTGGGAAAGAAGAATGTGAGCCCAGGCCCCACTGGGCCTCACAAGGAAAAGGTGCATGGCCAGGCACCAACCCAGGTCTGTAGAGAAGGAAGTGGGTGGGGCCATGGTGCCTATGGGGAAAGGGGTTGCAGCCAGCCTAGCCTGTCCCTGACCAGCACATGAGTTTGGTACAGGGGAGAGGGTGGCTGTTTTAATGGCCAGTACACACCCCTGCTCCAAAATGTCCTGACCCACTGGGAGCTCCATGGGCCAGATGTGATGGCTCCACGGGCCTCATCTGGCCCAAAAGCTGGTGGTTAAAATATACCTGTTCTAGACCATTGGGAAGTCAGGCTATCTACATTTATGGACACTGAGCATCCATAAATCTTGCAGAAATCAATAGTACTGCAGGTGTTTGTCAACTTTGAAGCCTTCTATAATGTATACCTTAAAAAGCATATTTTATTTTTATAAATAAATAAATTGGCTTTAATTGGCTTTACATGGCGTTAACTTTTATTGCCTTGATCCTTCAATATGATCCAAGCAAGTGGAACTTTACGTTTGTGAAGAGCCAAAGTAGAATCAATAGATAAGTGAAGATCAGTGCTCAGATGACACTATTGGACTCCTTTGACCGAAAAGCAGTTTCTTGAATTGATTCTTCAGGAATTAGAGCAGGTAATTAAAACAAACAAACAAACAAAGCTAAAGTATAAGAACAACTCAATTACAAAAGCAAAAATTGTACTCCATACGTAAACACTGCAACACTGCTCAGGAAATTGACATTATTAAATGACAATCTGTTAAATTCATACAATAAAAGTTATTAGTTTTAATATTTGAAATTTGCTAAAATAATCTAATACAGTTTTCAGTTACGCATTCAATTTACTTTTGTCTATTTACAACACATGCAAATAAGTTAGTTCCATGGAAAATAAATGTAACATCTCAAAATAAGAAGTTATTTTTATTTACCAGTTAGTGGATGTTTCACTCTTTGAAATCTTGAAATTCAAATCTGCCATCCCTCCCACAGGTACTCTGTCACTTCCAGTAGTAAAATGAAGCAGCTTCTTTTGAAGGTCAAGTGGAAATCCTAGAACTACCTCCCAGAAGTATCTACATTAAATAATGGGGAAATAAAATTACTATCCTGACCAAAGCAATTTGGCTGCTTGCAGAAGTTAAAAGCACAAAACAAAACAAAAAACCCTGGCGCTTTATTTTAACCTTTGTGCACTCCCATGGTGAGCCGAGCACATGTCCAGAAGAGGCAGCGCATTAATTGGGCCCAGCTTACTTGACATCTGTATAGGTAGGGCACTTTAGTGGGGCATTTTTGACATTTCTATTTAATAGTTGATTGAATTGGCTTTAGATAAAAGCACAAAAAAGCCCTGCTGATGCACCCAATATATATATATATATAGATACAGATATAGATATATAGATACTATGGAGCTGGGTCAAAGTAATGCATTGCTGCTTCTGGTAAAGTGTGTTTTTTTTAGGGGTGGGGTGGGGACAGGGTTTAATGTCTAGCAGACTTTAATGCTGTAATTACAACCTGGGCTCAGATACTGTCAATGTAATGTAAAACAAATACAAATTTAAATGCAGAAGAAAAGTCAGATCTACCATCATATGTACAGTTTTAAAAATAATTTAATTTGCAAATAATGCATACGGTTATACACATTTTAAAATAGATTATCAATGACATTTCTCAATAAATAATTCTTATTCAGAGCTGGATTTTACACCTGTAGTAGTGGGATAGACTGAAGATCATGTGTTCACTGAGGTATGCATGCTCTTACCCCTAACTTACAATTTTTTTAAAACAAATATTGGTTTATTTAAAGAGGCAATGTAACTTAACAGGTATATTTCTGTCTGGAACCATCTTAAATCTTATTATTGTTAAAAGAAACCAAACAAGTGATTGTAAATTACTACTTCATGTGCTCCTACCATAGCTGCTTCCCAACATGGCTCAGAGAGGCACGTAGTGCAATTCTACCTTGCCACAGCAGTGGTGGCACTAGGGTGAATATAAATGATAACGATCGGATAAATTAAGAACATATTAATAAAATTATAATGTTTATAATATATTTAATTTGGGTTTTTAATGGGGTGCTGCTAAACATTCAAAGGGGTGGCTGCAGTCTTAAAAGGTTGAGAACCACTGTTCTAGGCAGATGACTTCACTGTTAATATGCTATTAGAAAACATAATTGTAAAAAGATCACACGGTGGATCAGTGAAATACTTGAATTATTGCTCTTTAAAAATGGATAGATTTGAAGCTGCATCCTTTAAAAGATACAGAAAGAAATCAGTGAAGAGCAAGATATCAATAAGGAGGGTTTAACTGCAGTAATTTTTCCTATTTAAGAACATTTGAATACAGCATCTTCATCTCATTTTGAAATATTTCTTTTACACTTGTCATATATTAGTAATTCTAAAATATATTTGATACTCCTTTAGAAAATATCATAGAACGATGCATTATTGGGAACACAAATCTGATTTTTAAGCACAAATTAAGTCTACCTTATAGTAAGATCAGTTTTCTGGTATCCCTCATACTGGGTGCTTTTCTGTAGAGCATGCATGTCCAGTTCAGGGCTTCCACAAACAAGAATTTCAACCTCTTCTGGACGAAGCAGCTGCCAAAAAAAGCATTAAAGCATTTACTGGCAGAACACTTATTCAAGATAAATAAAGATAACAGGATTCAAAATTATAACTGATTTTTGAACGTACCAAGGAAAAAACTACTAGTGAGCAAAATGTATTGGCTAGCATTATCCTTCTGTGCATTTTTATTACTGTGCTTATGCTTCCTTTTTGATTATGCTTGTTACATTATTAAATGTCAATGAAGAAAAGGGAATTAAGTAACTGGTTTGGGATAGAAACTTTAAATTCAAATTTGTTTGCATAGCACCTAGCACAAAGGAGGCGCTGATTTTAATTTTCATTATTATTTGCAGTCTGGTAACACCAGAGGTCCCAAAGAAAATCAGCACTTCAAAATGCTAAAAGTACCATTGCCCTGAGGAGTTTGTAATATAAACAAACAGACAAGACAGTCTAAAGTTTGGAAGTGAAACACTGGCACAGAGAATTGAAGTGACACCTCTGGTTACACAGCAGATCAATTTCAGGACTGGGAACAAAACTCGACTTCTTTACTAGCGCCCCATCCACTAGACCATGCTGCCTCCTTTGGGCCTTCAGCTGGTATTGCAGTACAAATATAAAAATAAACGAAATAAAAAATGAATCCTGACACTACAGCTACATATTATAGTTTGCTGCAAAAGCCTTCAAAGTACTTCAAAGCATTTCAATGGATTTTCATTTCCCCATAATGAAGCTTCATTGCATTTAGTAAAATATTTCTAGATGAAGATGGCCATACTGGACCAATCTTACTGGAAAGCAGAAATGCTCATCACCTCCTCTTCTTTATCTTTTCTGACTTAAAAAAGGGGAAGGACAAAAGATACAATACAAAAGAATCCCTGACTCTTGGTCTTGTACATTCTTCTAATACCAGAGAAAGCTAATGAGTCACGTTAGATTAAAGTCAAGCAGAAAACCAGGGAAGGATAACACCACCTTCAAGACCAACTAGGAAAGCTTATGTAGTTAGCATCTAAGGTGCCACCCTGCCCTGCCTTCTACTATTCTTCCAATGGAAGTTAATATGAATATGGGTTTTGGAGGTCAATCTCACACACACCCATTCACAATGTTTCCCAAGGAGTACGTAGTCTTATTCTTTATGGTAATTGGTGATCACACTCATGGATCATTACAGATAGTGCAGACACTATCCTCATTACAGAAACTGGTTCCTAGGTGGGTGACACACAATAATAGTTTTTGAACTGCCTGCTGGGTTTCCTTTTTTAGGTTCTCCAAAGCTACCAATGGTTCTAGTTTGGATAGAACAGGTGTCAATTTAGAAAGCCTGCCACAGGAAATTTAATGTTTTGCTCAGCATTTCAGGTTTGTCTGAGACAGACGGGCAGCTGCTCTCTCCCCTACTACCAGCTAGCTGTGCTTATTTCATTTCAATACATCTGGATCCCAGTTCTTAAGCTTCTGTAACAGCTTACAAATCACTTTGGAAGCAGATACTGGAAGGATGGCAAAAAGGCGGTCAGCAGGGGGAGGCAATGTATAGCCAATGATAAAAATAAGAGACAGAGAGCACAAGAGCGCAAGATAATCCATTTAAAATAACGCTCCCTTTCCCTTCCATTTTCCCTATGGCTTGCTTCTACTTCCAGTGAATATATATATATTACTAGACCCAGGGGGGTAGGGGTAGGTCACTGGATGTAGAGGCAACCCATACAGAAAATGCTGGACCCATGGAAGGATAAATGAATTTATACTTATTCTGGTTTTTGGGTGATTTTCTTCCTTCCTCCCCCACAAATTAATTTCCAAGATAAGAATAATCAGAAATTCACCAACATGCCCACAGAATTACCTATTAAATCAAGACACTTGTAGGTCTTTCCCAACTCTAAGAAAAACTGTCACTAATTAGTTTTTTTGCATATAATCAACTATGTACGAGGAAGGAAGTGAACAGGGGGAGCAAACAGGGCAAGCAGTTTGCTGGGAACAAGAGAAAGAAGGGGAAGGGAAAGAGAAGCCAGGCAGCAGGCACCAGATCCTGCCCAGGGAAGGTAAGTGATTCAGAGTTGCCTGTGCCATTGGCTTGCTGAGAGTTTGTGGGGTGGGCTGGGCTGTGTGTTTGGGGCGTGTGCTCTGAGAAGCTGGGAAGGTTGCTAGTTTAGTGACAGCTGATTCCTGAGTGATTACTGCCTGTGCCTGCCAGAAGCCTAACGAGGGGGTGGAGTCAATCCAGGCCCAGCAGGGTATAAAAGGAGACTCTCAGTGCCATCAGGGAGCAAACAAACAGAGGCAACAAACAGGGAAAGCAGTTTGCGCCTTTCCCTCCCCGCTCCTGTTTGAGGGGAAAGCCTTTCAGCTTAGTGCGAGGAAGCAGGGAAAAAGGAACCCTTTGCCAGGCCAGCTTCCAGGCAAGTTCCTAGAGAAGGTGTGCTTGGAAGAAGGGCAGAAAGAGAGAAGAGACAGATTAAGAGACCCAGGGAAGTGGCTGGAGGACACTGCAATGCCAGAGCCACTGCCTCTGCTTGCACCTGTGAGGTTTCTGTCCAGGCAGGACCGCTTGCCATCGAGGCTTTCACCCAGGTCCAGGTTTGCCACTGTGGGGGCTGTGGCTTGCAGGTTCTGTCTCATGACAGCCAGGTGGGAGAGTGCCTGTGGTGGGAGCAGTGCCCCTTGGCAGTGTCTCTCAGGGAACAGGCAAGAGAGCTACAGGAGGAGGTGGTGAGGCTCCGAAGTATCCTCTGCCATGAGGAATTCTTTAGTTTGATACTGGAGGAGACCTCTGGGACTGTGGAAGAGCAGCTGCCAGAGGCAGCACTAGAAAAGGATGAGGACATGGACTCTCAGGAAGGTGAAAGCTAGAAGCTTGTGACCTCTAGCAGAAATCTTCATCTCCATCTGCAGCAGTGGAGAATCACAGAATCATAGCAATGGACCTCATAGATACGGAGCTCTAGCAACAGAGGGCAAGGAGCTCGTTCCATTGGTGGAGAAGGATAGGCCAGGCCTCCCCAGGGTGGGTAGGATCAAGACCACCACCACCAAGAAGCAGAGACAGGTGGTGGTGGTTAGAGACCCCCTTCTGCGGGGGACGGAGGGATCTATCTGCTGACCTGACATGCTGTCTCAGGAAGTCTGCTGCTTGCCTGAAGCCCAGATCCAAGGGAGGGATTACTGAGACTCATCTGGCCCTCTGACTACTACCATACATGTGGGCACCGATGAGACCCTGAGCAGATCAAAAATGACTACAGGGCTCTGGGTAAAAGGGTGAAGGGAATGGAAATCAAGGGGGTGGATCTCTTTGATCTTTCTGGTCAAGGGAAACAGCTCAGACAAGAGTGAGCGCATCATACTGATCAATGCCTGGCTGCACAGGTGGTGTTGCCAGCAGCAATTTGGCTTCTTTGACCATGGGCCTTTGTTCCAAGAAGAAGGATTGCTAGGAAGAGATGGGACCCCCCCTGACAAAGATAGAAGAGCATCTTTGCAGATAGGCTCGCTAATCTAGTGAGGAGGGCTTTAAACTAGGTTTGCTGGGGGATAGAAACCAAAGCCCTGAGATAAGTGGGAAACAGGGTGACCTGGAGGAACAGCAAGCAGGGTGGGGCACTCTCATTCTTGAATGCACGGAGCCTGGAAACAAGCAGGAAAAATTGGAAGTCCTTGTGCAGGTCATGGAACCATGACATGACTGGAATAATAAGAGATTTGGTGGGATAGCTTGCATGACTGGAGCACTGTCATGGATGGATACAAACTGTTTAGGAAAGACAGGCAGGGGAGAAGAGGAGGAGGAGTTGCACTTTATGTAAAAGAGCCATCTGATTGCTCAGAGCTCCAGTATAAAACTGGAAACAGCTGCCTGTGGGTCTGCTCTGCTCCCAGTAGAGTTGCATTCACCACCCAGGCTGGGCAGTGCCTGTCCCTGCCCCACTCCCTCCCTCCCCATGGAGGCCCCTATCTGTGCCCCGCCCTGCTCCTTCCCTCCCCACCACAGGTCTACTGGCTGGATGTTGCTTTCCAAGCTGCTGGGCTGCATTCCTGGTTGTATGCATGTTGCAGCTGCGCACATACACACAGCATTTATCGGTGACATTAATTGGCTACACTGGCCAAACAAGCCTACCTTTTATCAGTGCCAATCCAATATGGACAGATATAATCAGTGCACATCTATAACAACAAGTATGTCAGAAACAAGAGGATGGTCAGGGAAAGTGTGAGTCTCTTACTGAATGGGAGAGGCAACCTAGTGTCAGAAGATGCAGAAAAGGCTGAAGTGCTCCTTATCTTTTTGACCTCAGTGTTCACAGGCAGGGTCAGTTCCCAGGCTACTGTGCCTGGCTGCACAGTCTGGGGAGAAAGTGAGCAGCCAAAAGTGGCAAAACAGCAGCTCAGGAGCACAACAGGGTGCAGTTCAAAAAGGAAAAATGCAGAGTGCTGCACCTAGGGCGTAAAAATATCCAGCACACCTACTGGCTGAGGAATGACCCTCTCAGCAGCATGGAGGTGGAAAGGGATGTCAGTCATAGTGGACTCCAAGATGAACACGAGTCGTCACTGAGACGAAATAATCAGCAAAGCTAACCGCACTTTATCATGCATCTGCAGATGCATGACAAATAGAACCTAGGAGGCGATACTTCCCCTCTTTGTGGCATTGGGGTAACAAGGAACAGTGGTCACAAACTGACTGACAGCAGATTTAGGCTGGACTTCAGGAAGAACTTCTTCAAGGTAAGAGTGACAAGAATTTGGAATGGGTTTCCAAGGGAGGTGGTACTCTCCCCTACCTTGGGGGTCTTTAAGAGAAGGTTGGATAGGCAACTGGCTGGGGGCACTCTTTCCTGCCTAGGGCAGAACGTCAGACTCGATGATCTGTTGAGGTCCTTTCTGACCCTGGCATCTATTAATCTACTTAGAAGAGCTGGACATACACAAGTCCATAAGGCTGAACAGGATGTACTTGAGCGTGCTGAGGGAGTTGGTTGATATGACTGCAGAGGTGCTGGCCATTATCTCTGAAAACTTATGGTGATCAGGATTGGGTCTGGATTATTGGAAAAGGGCAAATATAGTACCCATATTTAAGAAAGGAAAAAAGGAAGATCCAGGGAACTACAGATCACCTCAATCCCTGGAAAAATCATGGAGCAGATCCTCCACAAATCCACTTCTAAGCACTTGGAAGAGAAGGTGATTATGAATAGTTAGCATGGATTCACCAAGGGCAAGGCATACCTAACCAACTTGATTGCCTTCTATGATGAGATGACTGGCTCTGTGGATGTGGTATACCTTAATTTCAGCAAGGCTGTTGATATGGTCTCCCACAACATTTTTGCAGGCAAGCTAAGGAAGTATGGGCTGGATGAATAAACTGTAAGGTGGATAGAAAACTGGCTGCAGGACTGAGCTCAGAGGGTAGTAATCAATGGCTCATGGTCTAGTTAGCAGCCAGTATCAAGTGGAGTGTTCCAGGGGTTGGTCCTGGGGCCTGTTTTTTTTCCAGTATGTTCAACAGCAACCTCAAGATGGGATAGAGTGCACCCTCAGCAAGTTGCAGGCTACATCAAGCTGGGAGGAATAGTAGACATCTACTTGGAGGGTAGGGCTAGGATTCAGAATGACCTAGAAAAATGGGAGAATTTGGCCAAAAGAAATCTCATGAGGTTCAACAAGGACAAGTGCAAAGGCCTGCACTTAGGATGGAACAGTCCCATGCACTGGTACAAGCTGGGGGCTATCTGGCTGGGTAGCAGTTTTGCTGAAAAGGACCTACAGTTTACAGTGGACAACAAGCCGAATATGAGCCAGTGTGCCCTTGTTGCCAAGGCAGCTAATGACATACTGGGCTGCATGGGTAGGAGTGTTGCCAGCAGGGCAAGGGAAGTGATTATTCCCCTCTATTCAGCACTGGTAAGGCAACATTTGGAGTACTGTGTTCAGTTTTGGGTCTCCCACTACAGAAAGGATGTAGACAAATTGGAGAGAGTCCAGCAAAGGGCAATGCAAATGGTGAGGGGGCTGGGGCATACGACCTATGAGGAGGGGCTGAGGGAACTGAACTGAGAGAAGAGAACAGTGAAAGCAGATTTAGTAGCAACTTTCAACTAACTGAAGTGGGGATCGAAAGCAGATAGAGCTAGACTGTTCTTAGTGTTGACAGATAAGGAGCAACTGTCACAAGTTGCAGCAAGGGAAGTTTAGGTTAGATATTAGGAAGGATTTTCTCACTAGGAGGGTAGGAGAACACTGGAACAGGTTACCTAGAGAAGTTGTGGATTCTCCATCTTCGAGAGTTTTTAAGAACCAGTTAGACAAAGCCTTGGCTGCGATGATCTGGTTGGGGATGGTCCTACTTTGAGCAGGGGGTTGGACTAGATGGCCTCCTGAGGTCCCTTCCAACCCTAATTTTCTATGATTCTAAGGAGGAGACAGTAGGGTTGGGATGGGAGACAAAGGGAATAAAACAAGGGATGGAAGGTAGGGAAGAAGCAGGATATGACAATATGGAGAATTTGTGGGGAAGGGAGATAAAAGTAAAAGAGGAGAGAACTCAGGGGCTGAAAACAATGGGTTTCACAAACCAGCTGATTATAAGAGAGAAGTGGAAGAAAGTGGTGAGGAATAAGAAAAGATGACAAATATACATAGATGAGAAGAAAATGGACTAAGAATGGAAGAGGACAGAGTGGACTTAAGCAGGTGACACCATCTGGATTACTGCACGTGAGACTGTACAGCACTACTGCAAACCTGCCACAGAAACAGAGATGGAACACCAAAAACCTAGGGACCACAGACTTAAGAGAGAAAGAAGACTGAAATCACAAAGTAGGGGTTCAATTCATGATCTTTCTAAAGAAGTTATGGCTATGTAGGCCAAAATTTAAAAAATAATAATGTGGGTACAGGCAGTCCTCGACTTACAACGTTTTGAGTTACAACATGAGTTACGCACTTATAATGTTTATATATTGACACCCTGTTTTAACTTTATGACATCAGTTTCAACTTTACAACGCTTGATCTGATGCGATGCCACGTCAGCGAAGAAGTTCACTGCGTCGCTCATCTCCCTGGAGAACATCTGTCCAAACTTCCTTGGACACTTCCTTTAAGAAAGTGGACAAGACTCCACAAAAACCTGCAGCCAGGACTCCTGAGAAGATTCCAGACAAGAACCCTTCAAAAAGTCCAGCCAAGGGCCTTTCAAAAAGTCCAGCAAAGTCACCTCAAAGAAGTCCTTCCAAATCAATATGATTGCTACTTACAATACAAATGCATTAATGTAGCTATATTACTCATCTATAATTGATAGAGTACAAAATTCTGAGGTATTTTTGGTGAAAATAGGGTATTGGGCCTTGGTTCCAGAACCAATCCCCCATTGATAACATTGTTTCTTATGAGAAAATTGGTTCCGAGTTGCAATGTTTCGACTTCAGACGTGGTTTTCAGGAACCAATTGTGTCATAAGTCCGAGGACTGCCCGTACCTATAAATGTGAACTCCAAATTTAAACATGGGCACCTAAATAAATGCTGCAGTTTTCAGAAGTACAGAACACCCATTTAGTGGGAGTGGTTGGGCACCAAGTACTTTTGAAAAATCAAAAGTTTTTTTTTTTAAACCTGGAGTACCCGCTAACAAAATCCTAGTTTAAGCTGTGTCAATGTATTTATCTATTAAATGGGGATTAGATTATATAATACACATATCAGCAATATTGAGAAAAGAAATTAACTAAATGATTTAAGGACTTAAAATCCTCAGAAGAACACGAAGTTGGAAAACAGAATACTGTGGAACCCTAAATATTGAATTATATGCTAATTTTCTTAAACATACTTCTAGTCATTTTCAGCCTTAGTCAGATGCTTAAAAGGTAGGAATTTGCTTAAACGCATCGCTAAATTGGAGTCTCTATGAACAATGAAACAAAAACCAGCTGAATTAATAAAATTTAGGAAATTTAGATCAACCTTTAGCAATGCTGCATCACAAATACAAAATTAACAATATTAAATAAAGTTTCTTATAACATTTTCCACTTTAATCTTACCATCAATGCATAAGAATCACAGACGCTATGGAATCCATAATAGAATGCTGCAAACTGTTTGTAGATTGATTTGTTGAGAAGGAAGTCAACATAGAACTGCACATATTCTAAAAAGAAAAGTATTTCATTCTTTTAAATTATAAAGTAACAACTTTCAGATAATTCTTTGCTACACTGTATCTTAAATTGAGCTAAAGTAATATAGAAATATTTAAAAAACAGTTTAAGTAGCATTAAAAATAGCATAATAATTTTTACTGCTTAACTAAATTACATTTATTTTTATTAGTGAGGATGCATTTTCTTTTTGATTTATTATATCTTTAATGTACCTTTTCTATTCTGATTTGTAACTGGAACTTTATCACCATTTGGTTTTAGGTTATAAGATTTTATGGCTCCAAATTCTTCTTGAAAAACCTGAAGAGAGACAACATTATAATACATGTAACTCCTCCTATTAGTTTTAATTATGATGAACAGATCAATAGACTTATAAAGGCCAGATTAGAAGGAATCATAAAGACCATTTAGTTTGACTTTCAACACCACACAAACCATACAGTTTTGCCATACATCATATTTACTTGAATACAAGGGTTTCCCTCCCAACTGGCATGGGGAAAAAAGCCCCATGTCTTATAATTGCATACAAGGAAACTGCAATAAATATACTGTCAACCATTAAAGTACTGCCAAAAGCTGTATGTGCTCAGCAACGGAAACCAACTATGAAGTTGATTAAATGCAGCCAACGCTGAGCATGACTGCATGACACATGGCCCACATAAGGCAAACATGCTGGTGGAAACCTACCACAAGGATAGGTTAGTACAGCCCATCTGAATCAGATATTTGGCAGTGCCCATTGCAATTAGTCTCTCGGACCGCTGACTCTTTTTCAAGTCATGGTGAGCCACCATATTGAATAAATATCAATTTCCTCTTTACTCTCACAGCTGAGCTGTGCCTTTCTTTTCCTTTTCCAATGTTTTCTGTTACTTCAGCAGCCTTGAATGCCTGGCAAACATTATGAAGCAGAGCTCTAAATAGTTTATGCAGAATCTTTGTCATCCCTTTTCTCAGCCTGGAGCACATGATTAGTGCGGCCCTGCCTTCCATGAGGTGAAGCTGGATCAGCATATACATTTTAGGAGCATCCCAGGACTCATGACAAAAACAATTGGTTGTAGTCATGAATGGAAGCAAATTAGCACACGGCTCCTATGGTAGGGAGGGGAAGGAGGGGTAATATGGTATATACATATATGCTGACCTCTGGAGTCATTATGGCTTGAAATGCTGTTGACTCGAGTGGGGCCCAGCCCAATAAATTATGTGGTAAATCACACGGCTTTGGCTTTCAACTAATATCATGCATAGTGCTGCAGAAAAGTGTGTTTATGGATTACCTGTGCTAAAACTTGCAGTAGTTTCAAAAAAGGTAACACGCATCCATGAAGTATGTGTATGGGTATTATATGCAAATTGCTACAGCTTTATTACATTTCAAGGTTATTATTTTCAAAATTGCTCTTTACTTCCATGCGTTCAGGGAGAGTAGCATGTGACAGCAAGGAGAGGGGGAAAGGGCTGCTGGGGGAAAAGGTTGGAAGGAAGTAGAAAGCAAAGGGGCTACCTGACTCCACAGTTTTATTTTTCCTGCTCTAGCAGTGCAAAGGGAACAAATTCAAGGCAGACCTCCAATAACCAGATTCTATAAGATTCTATAAATGAACTACTCAAAATAGTAACACTGAGAACATCCATACAAGATTTGAGTTGTAGACTCTAGTACAATGAAAGAGAAAAAGGCTTTAGGAACATTGGACATCTATACACATGATGGACCTCTGCTCCGACACGTGCTAATTAGCAATTGAGCCTTCTCTGAATCTGCTGGAGCGTGCTAAGTAGTGTGCTCCAGCAGCCTCTGCATCATGTGTGTTCAACATCCCCTCATTTCAAAATGGTGGCAGGGCGACTTTAACTAAAGCTCGTCAAATGAACTTTAGTCAAAGCACCCCTGCTGCCATTTTGAAGCACGGGATGCTGAATACATGTGATGCTGCAGGCACTTTAATTAGAGCAGCTTTCATAGAATCATAGAAGATGAGGGTTGGAAGGGACCTCAGGAGGTTATCTAACCTATCTAGTCCAACCCCCTACTCAAAGCAGGACCATCCCCAACTAAATCAGCCCAGCCAGATCATTCCAGCTCTCAGAGCCGCTAATTAACCCTCCTCTCCCCCACCTTGGAGTGCATGTATAGATGTCCATTAAGTATGTTGGAAGAAAAAAAAC